CAGCCCAGTTGTTCATGCATCCTCGCTACATGCATGGTGCTGCTACTAGGTCTTTCCTATTCTTAATCTCATGTTAGAAAATATTGGACATTCTTACACCTATATTCTTTGCTAATGAATGTGTCACTTGCTATTGCAGCTCTGAAGTAGGAGTATATGCTTATGCTGCAGCCCAGGTCAAAAAAGCCATGGAGGTTGGTCACCAGTCTCTTTGTAAATGTGATTTTAATTTCAGTCGTGCTTATGCTGTAATTTCTCTTTCCAATAGGTTACACACTATCTTGGAGGAGAGAACTTTGTTTTCTGGGGTGGTCGAGAAGGGTACCAAACTCTGTTGAACACGGATATGCAAAGAGAACTTGATCACTTGGTATGAACATAATATTGCCTTCTGGTGTTATGTGCATGAAGTATTTTGCTTCTTTTAGTCATTTGAGTATATGGATATATATAGTTCATGGATAGCACATCTGAATATTGTCTACTAATATGCAATTGGTTCCCTAACAGGCTAGATTTCTTCAAGCAGCGGTTGAGCATAAAAAGAAGATTGGATTCAATGGTACACATTTCATGTTCCTTGTTACCTGACATGCATGTGCAAAAAATCTGAGTGATTAAGGATTTGTAGACTCTCCACTTCTTTTTGGTGGTGTTGAGGATCTAATTACTATATGAAAGGACTTAATTTTAGTAAATAATGTATGAAGTTAGTGTTTTCTGGAAGGGGCATAATATACAGATTTTAAACTTTTTTTTGAATATATATTTGCAATTTTTTAAGTATCAGACATCAATGGACACAAATTCCATGTTTAAGACATTATTATTTTCTCACATATGGAGGTAATTAAGCAAGAGCATCATCTCCCGAGGAAAGACTAAGAAAGAAGACAACTGTATGTGAAAATCAATTTGGTTTCATACTCGAGTGGTTATCTATGAAACCTATACATATTTTGAGATGGTTGATGGAGAGATATAGAGAGAAGGGAAAGGATCTACATATGATTTTCATAAATCCAGAAAAAAGTTATGATAGAGTGCCTAGAGAGGTAATGTGAGGGGTTTTAGAAAAAAACATGTATGTGGTATATATATTGATATGATTAAATATATGTATGACAAGAGTAACAATTAGAATAAGAATTAATGAATGAGAGCCTGAACCATTTTCTGTTGTCATAGGTTTACACAAAGGGTCAATTTTAAGTCCTTATCTTTTTGCATTAGCTATTGACAAACTTACTAGGCACATTCAGGATGAAATCTCATAGTGTATGTTATTTGCAGATAATATAGTGCTAGTTGATAAAACTAGAAGAGTTATAATTTCTAAAGTAGAAAGGTGGAGATAAGCTCTTGAATCTAAAAGTTTTAGAATTAGTAGAACAAAAATAGAATATATTGAGTGTACTTTTAGTAATACTAAGAAAAGAAAAGAAAAGAGCCTTAGTACATATTAATGGACAATAAAATCTAAAAGTAATCATTTTCGCTATTTAGGATCAATCATTCGACGTGATGGTGAGATTGAGGATGATGATGTTCATCAAATCAAATCGGGATGGTTGAAATGGAGGAGTGTTTTAGGAGTTATGTGATCATAGGATATCAATGAAAACTAAAGGAAAAATTCTATAGGACGGTTACAAGACTAACAATGCTTTACGGATTAGAGTGCTGGACAATTAAAAAACATGTGTAAAAGATGAGTGTAGTAGAAATGAGAATGTTGCGATGATCTTGTAGGTATACACTAAAAGATGGGATAATCAATGAGTACATCCGTAATAAATTAGAGGTTGCTCCTATTGAGGATAAAATAAGAGATCAAATGAGAGAGAATCGACTGAAATAGTTTGGTCGTGTACAACGGAGACCTCTTTGTGCACTGGTTAGGAAAAGTGATAGTATTGTAGTTAATGGGGCTAGGAGATCTAGAGGTATATATAAAAGAACTTGGTTGGAAGCATTTAAGAAGGATATGATATTGTTTAACTTAACGGAGGAGATGTCTTGTAATTAAATGGAATGGAAGAATACTTTTCATATAGCCAGAATACTTTTCATATAGCCAACCCTGAACATTTGGGATAAAGGCTTTGATGTGTTGTTGTTGCATCATCTCCTGAGGAAATTTTGATGGCTTACTTTAATTTCTCCTTGTGTTTTGTCATGCAGCATAAGTCACTATGCCCTTTGTTATTTTTCTTGGAATTTCAACTGGTTTAACTTTAATCATGTTACTGTTTGCTTGTTCTTCAGGTACTTTACTGATTGAACCCAAACCACAAGAACCTACAAAGCACCAGTATGTATCGCAGGAAGTAAAATCTTCTAATAATTATTCTTGCTAGTTCTGTTATTTTTATTAACTCCTTTTTAACAGATATGACTGGGATGCTGCGACATCATTCGCTTTCTTGCAAAAGTATGACCTTGTAGGTAAGTCTCAGAGCATTTGCTTTTACTCTTTTTCTTCTACATTTTATGCATGCCTAGACTCTACAAATTTACACAAGCACAGAGTCATTTATTTTAGTCGTCAGTCGTATTTGTACCCATGAATTCAAGTGTCATGAAAAAGTATAATTTGTTAGGACTCGTGACTTGTGACAAGCATACTTAAAGGCATGTCAATATAGAGAGGAACATTTATCTCTATTTAGGAGATGGTTGAACTTTGAAGGCCTAAAGGGTGCAAAAATAAAGGAGAAGGGCACAAAGACAATCTTCCCTCCCAAAAAAACCATAATAGCTCTCAAAGATTTCTAGCACCTGTCTATCATCCGAGTATATTCTATTGTTTCTATCTTTCTTAACATATGATTAGCCCAAATATCATTGTTTATTTCTTTCTATGTAATGAAAATCCTTCAATCCAAATCGGCTATAGATGAATCAGCCTTCCTTTCTCTGTTCAGCTTGTTATGTTCTGTTTCTTAAAACACATTACATTTTAAATATACTTGTTTCTTTTGTAAGTAATCTTATTCAGAATGCATTAGATGAAACTCCACATTCTTTTAATGCGAACTTCATGTACTTTTTCATGTAATAGATGGGAACTTCAAATTCATTTATCCTAATAATCATTGGGATAGTTTGTCTGTGTCAAGAGTGATTATGTTCCCGTAAAGTCACTAAAGCCTAATGGTAAAGTTTTCTGCTATTCTGCAAGAGGTTTGGGGTTTCACTAATTGATATTATGATGTGTGTCACACATGCTCTTGGCATTGCATTGCTTGTAATTGGATTGTGATCCATTATGTGGAGAGGTACCTTCTAAGTACTATAATGTGGGTAGCCAGTTTCAAATCATGAAAGGACAGCTGAATTATTTACACTGCTTATGTTATCGTCTGTCTTGCAGCCTTTAGTGTGTAGTCCTGATTGCTTTTGTTGATATCTGTCCCAGCAAATCAATGTATTTTTTCTTGTTGCAGGAGAATTCAAACTGAATATTGAGTGTAACCATGCTACTCTATCCGGTCACAGGTATGCCCTTAGTTGCATTAAATTTTTTTCTTTAAGTTGTCATATGGTATAAAGGTTTTAATATGGAGTATCTATTATAATGTTTCTCCAAGGTTTTTGCCTAGTTGTTTACAATATACCTATATGATTATTACAGTTGCTATCATGAGCTTGAAACTGCTAGAATAAATGGATTACTTGGAAACATTGATGCGAACACTGGGGACCCTCAGATTGGTATTGTTTTCAACACAAAGCTATTAATCATTCGTGTACTCTGATGTCCATGTTGTCATACAGAATAACTGTGGTTTTGTGTTATAATTTGACTTTGCACAGGTTGGGATACAGATCAATTCCTTACAGACGTAGGAGAGGCCACTTTAGTCATGTTAAGCGTGATTAAGAATGTATATTTCTCTCAACTTTCACCAAAGTTTTTTGATATAAGAATAATTCCATAAAATAACCAAATCTGAACTCATTAACATAATTGATTTAACTGGTTGACCCTTTATTTAATTTCTTCGTTCGCAGGATGGACTTGCGCCTGGTGGATTCAACTTCGACGCAAAATTGTAAGAGCTCTCTACCGAAATCTTATTTCAAATCAATTATAAATTCTGAAACCCAACTTGTTAACAAAAGTTTTAGGGCTACTGGAGTTTCTTTTTTCCCCCTATGTGCCATATTACTGAAATCTAAGCAATTGCTGTTTTATCCTTTTGATCGAACAGGAGGAGAGAGAGTACCGACGTTGAGGATATCTTCCTTGCTCACATCTCTGGGATGGACACCTTGGCTCGTGGGCTCAGAAATGCTGCCAAGCTGATTGAAGTAATAGATTAGAAATTAAGCGAAATATACATTTTAACTCTCTTTGGTTGTTGACATGTTTCTTTTTCCCCTTTCTTGATTCTAGGCTGGTTCTCTTGAAGAGCTTCTTCGAAAACGCTATCAGAGCTTTGACTCCGAGATCGGAGCTTTGATCGAGGTAATTCCTGTTGTTTACATCTCTTTCTCTGTTTATATGCAAATAAATTCAATGAAATTCTTAAGGGGTATGTTCATGTATATAGGCTGGGAAAGCTGATTTTGCTACACTTGAGAAGAAGGCCATGGAATGGGGAGAACCATCCGTTGCCTCTGGGAAGCAGGTATGAAAAGAGTCGTTATCATTTTCATTAATTTGTTAAAGTACATTCAAATGGGTGTTAAATGAAATGGAAATCTTTTCTTTTTTGATGCAGGAACTTGCTGAGATGATATTCCAGTCTGCTTTGTAAAGATTGAACGAAGCTGGAAGCAGTGTACTTTCAGTTTTAGAGGAGTGGGACATAAGTAGAGGGGCTTCAGCTAAATTAACGTGTCACGTTTGACCAATAAATGTACATCTTGTTGAAAACAATTTCATTGGATCTCCAATATCAATGAGCCCCATTGGAAGTAAATGAGAAGCCTTCTCTCTTCTGTACTACGATATGATTCTATGTTTTGTCTTGGAATTTATAGTTATATCATAGGTAAAATGTCCTTTTTCCAACTGCAGTTATCATTAACTGCATTTATACAAACGACTGCGACTGATTCCCAATGTTCCAGTTGCATGCAAATGCGGTTACAATCAATGACGAAATTGTACGTCTTCAGCACATCAAGAAAACTAGGAGATTAATTAAGATGGCCTCTCTTATTGCTTCGCAGGAGAGCCAAAAACTTTACACAAACCATGAAACATACAAGCTGAAGGCTCATAATAATCACTCTGGATCATGTTTTTCCTTCTTCATGAAGAAAACAACTGACTTCCAAGAGTAACCAAGGTTGTGCCATCACCCATCACTGTTGTGAGCGACATTTCTGTCTCGAGAACTCGATCAAGCTCCCTTGCAACTGTCGCCATCTCTGGTCGTCCTCCAGCGGAAGAAGTTAGACATCGAAGGGTCAGAGCGACAAGTTCTTTCATTCCTTCTGAAGTAAAATTGGTGCCGAGTCGTTGATCAATGAGTTCATTTGAGTCTAGATGGGACTCCACCTTCATATGTGCAAATGAACATCAGATTCAATAGTAAGATTTTCTTATGTATATATAAATTCAATAGATTACAAGGACAAGAGTCAAAAACTAAGGTTCCAATGACTGTTAATGTGGATATTAAACTGAAGCTCATTAAGTATGTGATCGGGGAACAAAAGGAGGTTCCTGGCTTTCAGATGCTGCAATGATTTATCACCGTGACAAAGCATTATCTACTGGCATCGAAGTAGATGGACTCAAATCTTGCAATATAATCAACAAAAAGTTCAAGGGTTAACTGAGGATAGACCGCACTTACTATCGCCCAATTGCGCATAGACTCTATGTAGTTCTATTGTTGCAGATAGACCCAATGTGTTATTGCTCAATTGCATATAGATCCCTAAATGATTTTTGGGCTCTTATACCCTATGAAGGTCTACTTGTAAAAGAACAATTTGCTCTTTCTGTTGGGGTAAGAGTCAAAAAGTTACACTTAGGGATCCATCTGCATCAATAGAGCTACATGGGGTCTACCTGCAACTGACCTAAAATTTTATTTCGAAACAAACGTATGTAAATTGAATGAGATATTACTATGTACTACATGTAACAACATTTACTTGGACACTCAATTAACGAGGCATCCTCATTCTTGCATATATCTGCATGTTAACCCCCCGCCCCAACCAAACAAAAAGAAAGGGGAAAAAACCCAACCACACACGCACATCCTTCTAAATGCCTTCTAATGTAGTTTCAATAATGAAATGCAGTAGGATACTATCAAAACTTGTTTGTAGTTCGTAAATTGAACTTCAAGAGGGACCCAAAAATAAAGCACATAAAGTTGTCATTGAATTGAATATGTTTGCTACATTACCCACTGGGCGAGGCTTCCATTTGATCCTGTGAAGATCTGTCGTGCAGTTTCCTTACCAGATATTAGCTCCAGAAGAAACACACCAAAACTGTATATATCACTGGTCGCTGATACTATCCTCAGTTCGCCTACCCTAAACAAAATACAATACTTCAGAAATATTGCAAATATACTATATAGGGTTAATTGCGGATAAACCCCCTATGCTATCACCAAATTACAGTACAACTCTAGATAGACCCTCGGGGTAAAAATTTTTTGGTTCTTTACCCTCAGAGAAAGAATTCTTTTTCGACAAACAAACCTCCTCAGGGTAAAAGAGTTCAAAAAGTTTCGCTCAGGGGGTCTATCCGCAACTAGGCGATAGTACAAGGGGTCTATCCATGATAACAGAACTATAAAGGGTCTATCCGCAATTGGGTGATAGTAAAGGGGTTGTTTAAATTAACCATACTAAATATTTCATAAAAATGCAGAGAAGGAGCATACTCTGGGTCCTGGAATGGGCTGACTGTAAGAGCTTGAGATAGACTACATCCTTCCATTCTCTGAAGTAAATTCATAATGCCTGCATCTGCAACTTTAGCAATGAAGTTTTCATCAACCAACACATTACTTGTTTTGAAGCCATTGTGCACGATTGGAGGTGTGAGACCGTGCAAACAGGATAACCCTGCAAAATGCCGAGAACAACACAAGCCTTAGCTATGTGCATCACAAATAAGTTTGGAAAATAGGGGTAAGTTTCACAAAACACCGCTGAACTTTAGGATGTTTTGCAGAAAAGCTCCACAAACTTTATAAAATAGAGAAAATCTTTTTGAAATTTCAAATTATACAAAACTATCATTAAAAACCATTAAAAAGTGTTAACAGAAGGTCTAAACTATCCTTAAAGTAGGCGAGAGAATAGGGTACTATAGCAAATATATTAAGTGCATTGTGGAGAAATTGTCCAAAATATGTCATCTGTGAAGCAAGTGACAATATAATCTACTTCTATCAGTCATGATATTTTAGTAAAACAAGCTGTGATAGATTTTTGCTAATACATAAATTTAGAAAAAATTTGTGAAAATTAACCTAAAAGAAGCACAAAAAGGAAATAATTACCTTTAGCTGCTCCTATAGCCACAGAAAGCCTCTGTTTAAACTCTAGTTTGGTATTTGAACTCTGCCCACTGTCTGTCAATTTATTTGTTAAAAATGAACTGCGTCAATTGGCTTGTGTAAAACTACCTTGCTTCACTTAATACAGATAAAAAGCTTACCATATAGATGGCTTGATATGCTTCCATTAGGCAAATATTCATACACTAAAATTTGTAGACCATTTTCCTGGCAATAACCAATAAGAGTAACGATATTGCGATGACAAATTGCTGATAAACGTTTAACCTGTCCGATAATTATTCACTGTCAGTGTGTAAAACTGAGAACAGTACATTCAAGGGCTAAATGTGGATAGACCCCCCGTACTCTTGCCAAATTGAACTTATTAGCCATGTAGTTGTATTATTACATTAGACCATATGAAAGAGTTCTATTATTGCTGATACACCCCCTGAGTGAAAATCTGTTGTTGTAGATAGACCAATAGAAAAGGGTAAAAAAGTTCACTCAGGGTTACTATCTGCAACAACAGAGCTTCACCTTGGCAATAATGCAGGGGGTCTACCTGCAAATTAATCCAACATTTAAAAACCAAACCAAACCATTTTTCCTCATTTTATCTCAAAAATTCAAACCTGTCAATTATAAATTCATGCAAGTAGATCAACCGAAAAGGAAACAATTTTTACCTCATCAACAAACTCATGTCTTGGAGCTCCTTGTCGCCTTTTAATTGCGACTACTGTCCCATCATGAAGCAATCCTTTATAGACTGAGCCAAAACTACCAATTCCCACAAGATTACTTTCATTAAAATTTTTTGTTGCCTGTTCTAATTCTTCGATTGTAAACTGCCTCGCACCCTTCTGTCCACTGGGAGCTCCCCCGTTACTTCCAAATGCTTCATTCAAAATGCTAAAATGTGTAAAAAGATGAAGAATATATGTAGTAAAAGGCATTGAAAATGTTTTTACCGAATGTAGAAGGATTTGAAGAGCCCGAATCTGAATTCTTGTTCTTCAAAGATTTCCACTCTAAGAATCGACGCCATAGAAGCACAATAAGAATCCCCAAGAGTACAAGAAAACCTATAACTCCTCCAATAATTGTCGCGACAGACCACATTTCTTTAAGGCTTCAGTTGGGCAATGAAGAACTATATGCATTGAAGCTGGACCAAACCCCGATAATTAAAACGCAACAAACGAGGTACCCATATGTAAACAAATTATGCACTATGACTTCCATAATAAGACACACAATTATGTAATGCATAGACTGTAAATTAAGATATAAATGAAAGGTGAAAAGGTCAGATTCTTCTCCTACCTCTTCTGACCGACACAAAATGATGCTGCGTCTTCTTTGTTGAATGCCAATTGAGAGTACTGTCAACTTGCGCGAGACTAATCGTTGGCAATGCCAACAGAGTTCAGAGAACAACTGGCATTGTCCAATGGTATACTCATTGATCAATACTAGAGATCATATGTACACTGTTTGAAAAATAATTGCAGTAGCTCAAAAGCACTCAGACAGAAAAAATGAACGTCATCAGAGGAACGCTGGAGGGATTTTAAGGCTCTAAATGCAGAAAGAACAACGGATCAAAAAGCTGCAAAATTAAAAAGAATCCGATCACAGGGTGGCAGTGTATAAAATAAAGCAGATNCCCAGCCTGTAGAATCTCTCTAAGGCGTCAGTATAAGTACAGAAAATAATAATAATGATAATAATAAACAAGAGTAAAATTCACAGGTTTTTGCTAAGTAAAAAGGAGGACACGGACAAGGAAAGGAGTTGTCCACCATCTCAATCTCTTAAGATCTCCAAGCCCCCACCAACTTGCATTTTCAAACCGTACAGAATTTGGGAAGAAATGGATGGGTGGGGGCTCAAAAGGACTTGGATATTATGCATGTAGTTTGGAGATCAAAAGGCTGGAATGTCTTTTGCTGTGTCCTGCCATTGTCTTGCTGTCTTCTTGCCTGGGTCCAGAAAACTCAACAGTAAAATTGTTGTGTGGATGCGGGATGGCGGGTGGTTTTGGCGGGTGTGGTGTTTTTTCCAGCGGCGGGGTTGGGGGGGGGGGGGGGTGGGAGGGGGGGGGGGAGCGTATTTGTTTTCCATTTTACCTCCTTTTCGCTTCAGAATTAAACAGTATTAAATGAGACGTATTGTAACTCCATATCAAACAAGATAGGGATAAATTAAAAATATTCACATTTGGATGTAAATCTGCAAAAAAGATAGATTTTGGGGATATAGAGATTAAAAAACCCTACAATAGTCAGTTTGTCAACATTCTAATAAGCACATAGGATCCTGAACTTCATTTTGACTTGCCTGGAATTAAAGAAATGAAGCAGGTTGGATGTCTCTGAAGAGTGAAAGCACACAAATTGCACTTATAAAATATAATAAGGACAGAAGAAGACCAGTGCAGTGCCAGACTAAGGGGGGAAAATGAGAAAAAAAAAATAGGCATATGAATCTCACTAAAATGAGGTTACCGGATGCTTGCCTAGTGATTGCAACAAAATGCTGGGGGGAAAAAAGAAATAAGATGATTAAACAAGTTGACCTATAGAATACTGCAGTCCAGCAAGGAACTAGCTCAATACTAAAAACCCAACTAATTTCATGCCAACCAGATCCAACATCTAAATGCACACAACTAGGCACTCAAGTTATGTACCCCACCTTGTTCTGAAAAAAATATGCAAATAAAACAATTTTAAAAAAAGACGTCATGCCTAAATTCATAATCTGTCAGCTGTAGGCAATGATATAAATTTTCTGTCAGCAACTCCTTATTTTAGCAAACAAGCACTCCGTACAATCAAAGTACAGCTAACAAATAGTTAATTTGCAATTTTCTGACTACAAAGCATCTCAGAGGCCAAAAAATTTATGAACCAAATACTCCACAGGCTACAAGATATCCACAGTAAACAGCCGAACAATGGATATGCAAAGTCTCATAGAATCAACAAACAACTATCAACAACCTATATAGAACGGAGATGATCATTGAAGTAGATCAAATGCAGCTGGAAACAGAATTAAGCACACTTATCAGATCTAACAAGAAAACAAGGGCACCATGAACCATAAATAAATAAATAAGTAAAATTACAAAAGATATTTAGATCTGACAGAGTGCTAGAGTTGCAATTTCTCCAACTATTTGGCTTTTGAGTAATGGGAAGCACGCTGCTGTTTCTGAAGTGTCTTTGTCGAGTAATTGTTTAGGCAAGTGAAGGATTTATTAGAATATAATTATTAATTGGAACATATGGTACATTTCTAATGTATTGTACATGTAAAATACAACAATCAACATATGTACAGAGCTAATCTACAAGAAGAATACATCATAGTACACATGAGTATTTACAAGTTAAAACCACTCCACCATGCACCTTGGATAGAATTCTGCTGCTGCTGCCAAAGAGGAAGTGGCTTGTAATTCTTTCTGGATTTTTCGCCTCTCATAAAAAACTGAACATGCAAGTGAGGTGCACTTTACTCCGCCTTCTATTATCCAATCACCACCACCACAGTGCCTACATATCTGACGCATTGCAAGGGGGAAAAAATTAGTTATCCACAGAATTGCAGCTGGTTTATCACTTAAAAAGTTTCAGCTAAACTTCAAAATCTTAATTAGTAACAGGAAATAGCGATCAAGCATATAAGAACGCCCAGAGGCCAAGAGTTGAGCATTTCCTTCATCACTTTCCATGAAGGTAAGCAAAATAGTAATAGCAAATTGGTCTTAGCAGTAGCCAAATGTAAACACCAATGAGTTGATACCAATTTCACTCCAAGGGAAGCATGGATTCCAATGCATAGTGTTGCTAGCACTGCACAACTTTTACCATACACCATACAATTTTTTGCCACATACAACACATGAATATTTTTCTCCATTTTATTCTCTTCAAGACCATCTAATATTGGTATCATGGCTTTTTATAATTCCAATGGCGGTCATTCATTCATGTTTATGCTGAGTCATTCTCTTCTAAGACTATGATCTAATCCTTGCAACTGGTGGTTGTTATTACACATTCTCAACCACTGTGTTATGACTTTATCCAAAAGAGTGGAAAAAATTAATCCAGGGGGTCTAAAGGTAGACGTGGCATTTCCCCAATGTTGGGCCCTAAAATTCTCCTGGAAACTTCCATAATCATGAGAAATTCAGGGTCGGGCTGGCTCTCTTAGGGACAGGAAATGACAACAGCAGTCACTCCATTATCCTTTATCATCCCCAGACCGCCAGTATAGCCCTCTGCCAATCCTCGTTTAGCCTCTCTGCAAAGGGCTTAACGAAAATAAAAGTTAGAAGGGTCTTCTGGGATTTGGAGACAAAATCAGGAGATAGAACAAGTCTAACCTTTTATTTAACTGACCAGGTTTCTTGCTCTTGCATTATGCACAACATGTCTAAGATGAAAAATAAGATTTTCTTATGCAAAAATGTCTAAGATGTTAAGCAAATCTTATAAGAAGTTTTCGGGGAATAGAAGATAGTGAGTCTTTTATACAGGACAAGTGAAAATTTAAAGGTTATACACAATGTGATGGTATATGATGGTATACGACCAGTAAATAAATATAGAGGTGATAACTATTAATTACCTCAGAAATATAATGATACTAGTAAGGGGGTAAAAAGGACTTACAGAAACCAAATGTTGGATCTCCCTCTCCAATTTAGATGTGTTCCCAATCACAGCTGCTGCAACAAGAGATTCTTTCATTGAGCACTGATCGCATAAATAGGCTGATGCCTGAGCCAGCTTACCGCACAAAGTGCAATGCTTTGAGATATAATAGGCATCTATCCTTCTTCTTTTGGATGGTAACATCTTAGAACTTTCGGATCTGATGTCACTATCAATTTCATTCAAAGACTCTGAACGAGGGACAATATTATGGCGTTTAGCCAAGGTTGGTCTAACCAGGCGAGGAAGATCTGAAAACCATTGGTTAAGGTCAGCACCAACAAGACCAAAGACCCGCTGCAATGCTGGAATTATCTGTTTCTTGATATAATATAATTCATTCAATCTATATGCAGAATTGATATCTAAAAGTACATATGGACTGACGACCATGTCTACAAGCCTAGCACCGGGTTCCCCATGTATAACAACATAAGGTATTCGCTCTCCATACCGAGGCTCCGCTCTGGGATCATTTTGCATAGCTTTGGTTGCAACTATTGCTGCAGGAGGGAGAGTAGAAGCTCTGGAACTGTATGTACCCAACCTAACCTCCTTCGAAAACACAAAATCCTGAAGTGAAACTTTTCCGGATAAAATTCTTCTCCATTGACGTTGCAAATAAGTTTTAATCTGGATTGAAAACTGGATTCAGTGTCTATAAGTAAGATCAAAAGAAAAATAAACTTGTATGCTTGCCATAATGCACACGGCAGAATTTTTGCAAAATTTACATAGGTCAACTGTTATGAAATGGTGTTGCTTTGTCATACTAGTTACGAGTTTCAAACTCCAGTGTCCATTTTACAACTTAATGAGCATCTACTTGAACAAATATCATACCATACTTGCCGCAAATATGGTTTCCTTGCTTATACATCATCATAGCTAAACGTCTTGTGTCTTCATTTTGAAGATCAATTTCATATTTCACCTTTCCTTAGATAATTATAGTTAAAATTTTGTGCAGAAATGTTCTATCTTTATCAGGGTAATGCATAATTTAAAACCATGACATAAAATCGGGTGAAAACTGTAAATGCCAAACATACTGAAATGCAGCAATCACAGTTCTTACTGCTGATATATCTTGATGCTCGAAAAACAATCTTATAGACCGCTCCAAAGTCTTTGCAACAGCTGGACACGTGTCTCTGCGTACTGTTTCGGTACCTTTTGCATCAAAAATGGGCTTCTCTTGATCAGGAGTCTCATAGCTGTAACCAACATAACGTTTCTTGGTAAGAAGAAAGCATGGGTGATAAACTTTTTCCATTTTTAGAGTGACTGGGTCTGGATTCATTGAAGTTATTGCAGAGGCAATCTCATTTCCTATTCTGAATGCCTCTTCCCTTGACCGGCCTTTAAGAAGCACGAACATGCTATACCAAGAAATAAACATTTGAACAAGATTTGTCAGTTTCAGCCAACAAGAGGACAAAAGAACTGAGATATCTGAAGAGATACCTATCAGTATCACCATAGACAACCCTAGCTTTCCATTTATCATGTTGATTCACAAATGAGATTGCTCTTTCCAATGTTCTTCTACCACATTGGACAATACTATCTGCAAGTTCTGCACAAGGCATGCGGCCACTAAAGCCAGCAGCAGTATAGCCATAAGTCACATTTGCTATCAGTTTCAGAGCAAGTTGACGTGCATTAAATATCTGTAAGGAAAAAAGAATTATCTTAACAAGACAAAGCAAAATGATACACCAATAATAGATTTATCATACAGGAGTGTTGTCAACAAAAACTCATAATTTATATTGCTACCAATATCGAGTAATAGAATTTCTTACATAGTAATTGAATGCCTAATACAATTGATTAAATATTAATGGTAAATATACTAGAAGGCTACTTTTTTCGACATGTGTATCTATATGCACTGACATGTAAACAAGTGAAGAATGTCGGTCCACTACATTGTAACCAAAATGTATATAGATAAATGGCTTTGTAAAATTCACTTATTGATTCAAGGAGAAATTTTGAAAACCATCTGATTTACAAAAAAAATCGCAAAATACGACCTCTTCTAAAAATAATTGTCAAAACCGACCTAGTTTCAGCCGTCGGGCTGAAACTGGGTCGGTTTTGACGAAAAAAACTATGAAACTTCACGGGACTTGAAGTCAAGTTTAGCACCGCCTAATGTTAATAGATTAACGTCATTATAGGCTGCTAAACTTCACGGGACTTCAAGTACTGTGAAGACTGTGAAGTTTCATAGTTTTTTTCGTCAAAACCGACCCAGTTTCAGCCCGAAGGCTGAAACTAGGTCGGTTTTGACAATTATTTTTAGAAGAGGTCGTTTTTTGCGATTTTTTTGTAAATCAGATGGTTTTCAAAATTTTTCCTTGATTCAAAATAATTAACCTGCCTCATCTTGGGAACAATTGTCTACATAAAGTGTGAAGTCAACCATACCCTTATACAGCATGTGAGGTATGTAAACACCCAACTGGGGAATGAGCATAAGTGTAAATTACTAAATCAACTTGACAATCTGAATAGGGCTCAAGTCATATTCTAGTCCTCCCTACTAGTGGCGTGACTTTTCATGAATAAGTCAAATTTTGCCATCGGAGATGCACCATTACTCATGTGCAAGCTGTTCTGGGATCAGAATTCAATGTCATGCCGCTGAAAGCGCTCACCTTACTTGAAATCCCTGCTAAGCAAATGAGCTACACCAACATTACTATATTGTAGGTATGATGCTAATACCCTAAAAGCAATTTGAAAGTCCAATTGAAGTGCCAGCTAGGTTGGGACTAGAGTCCCAATTTATCTGATATGTCATTAAAAGCGACACGTCCTACAATCTCTTTGAACAAAAACTGATATCAAGAAAGAAAAAGAACTCCAGACTGGTTAATGGAAATGCTGATCCACTATGTTGTTATGTACTAACATACTTGAAGCCAAAATATCATTCACCTTGTCATCATTTTGGGTCAATAAATCAAGTTAATATGAATCTAGGGCAACTAATTCAGAATAGGAAAGATGGAGGACACCAGATACATAAACATTGTAAGGGAAAGGCTTTCATGAGAGAATCATGCAAAGGGTGATCAAAAAAAAATAAATAAATAAATAAAACTTTCCATTAAATCAGCCAATAAAGGGGAACTTGTATCCCCTTCGAAACAGTGACATGAAAAAATGGCAACGATTGTATTTGTTTCAACTTCAAGAGCCCGCAAGTTCAATGCTGATTTGTGAAGACTTTCATTGTGAACTTCTACGTACTGTGGAAGTGCAAATTCTTTAAAAAATACAGAAACAACATAATGCATTTAGTTTAAAGGAAAACAATAATATACCCTTTGTAAAACTTTTTGTGAAGGCTCTAGTTTCTTCATTGCCTTCTTTACCATTATCCTAGTTGATAATATTTCTTCTAAGAGACGGGGTAGTACACCTCTACGTACCTGCAGCACTCGAGGAAAATCTTCAATTAGCTAAGGCATTGAAAAGTAAAGAATTATTGATGCTTGACAACTGGATTCCTAAAAGTGTGAAACAAATTTGGAGAAGATCAAAATGCAAAAAAATGCATCACACAAATCAGAAGAGATCAATAAACGCATCTAAAGGATATCTGGATGATAGTGAAGGTACACTGGTACAGATATAACATGTCCGCTTTCTATATGCTTGGTTTAATGCTTCAGAAGTGGGAAGCTCAATGATGATGAGAGAAGTTAAACTTCGCTGGTATGTGCTTTGGTGACTATCTATATAAGGCAAAGAGTAGATACACATGAAAAGGCTATCTCAATCCTTTAATTTGCATAAGAAGTTTTTTAAGGTATCAACCTCGAACTATCAATGTTGTAAAAGAATTCTCATCAGTCACCTGAATTGCCAGCACCATCTAGCTTCCTGAAAGTTTGAGAGCAATAATATATATCATACAAGCAGCTCAGAAACCCGTTCATAGGCAGACACCATAAAAACATCCCACTATGGCCTCGTTGATTGTGTCTCCAGGCTGGTTGTTGAAGTGATGAAACAGGGCCGTTTTGCTTTCAAATGGAATCTTTTTGTTTCCCCAGTAACACCTTACTCCAAAGACAGTATGGGTTTTTCTTATTTCCAACCTTTAACTGATCTATGTGAACTGCCACTTGATTGCACAGTGCAATGCTATGTCTGGCTTGCTCATTTCAAGGCAAACCAAGACTTTTTCATTAATGGAACCTACTTCCTGCAAAGATGAAAATTGGCAGAGCTGCAGTAGTCTAGCTCTGTCTCTACCTCTCGAGTATCATGGTGAGTCCACCAGATCCTTTTCCTTTGATCAACCACCCAGTATGGCAGTTTCTTACACCTTTGTTCTTTTTATTTTATTTTATTTTATTTTATTTTATTTTTCTTGGGACAGTATTATTTTCTCGAATTAATGGGTTTCATTTGGACCATCATAGGTTAACTTACAGTCCTAAAACTTAAATCCACAAGCGCATTCAAGAAAAACCCAAGATTAATCCCTCTTGGTTCGTTAGGCAAACCCGATATGCGATCCAATCTCCTTTTACTTGTATGTATGGATGTTTTTTCTTCAAGCTACATTCTCACTTAGCTGATTTTTTGGCACTGGGATAGGCAGATGGTACTCCTGTATTTCATTCCAAGTTGAGTTAGTGCAGCACTTGTTATCATCTTCATAACCGTCTATTTCGTCTTTTTCTACAGTCTGTCCATGTAATGACATCCATATAGTCAAATTTGTATTATCGCATGTTTCTACCCTTCAATGTTATCCACAAATAAAAAACTTTTTATCACCACCAGAAAACTTGTTAAATACCAGGAAGCTAACTGATACATTATGACATAAGGAACATATGGGAGCTAATTAGTTGCATGTTACCAGAAATTTCATCCTTTATCCATATGATGGGGATATTCATGACATCATTCGGTATATACATGATCCCATATATTGGACATGGAAGCCACCAGAATAATATCACCAGAAATCTTCATACCTTCGACGAGACATACATGATGCCGTTTGGAGTCAGCTGCAGTTGTTGTTTTAAATCCTTCAAAAGCAGTGGATCTGCCAAATAAGAGGTGACGCCAAGTATATTTGCTTTGAAAGAAGCAACTGTTCCCAAGCATGTACTGTAACAAAGGTTGTATGCTATTATCATTGACGGGTAAAGGGATTGGAAATCTAATACTACAACCGGGTCAGCATAGAAGCCAGATTCTGGTTCCATCACAAGTGGTAAACACTCCATTGCAGGTTGAGCAGCTACCTGCAAAGAAGACGCATACTATAGTTAACAGTAAGACCTTAAGTGAGCTACACAATCAAAATAAGCTAGTGCATGTGCTGATGAAGGAATGAAGCCTAAAGAACTGAAGTTAGCACTTGCAATTAAGGGTGCCAAACGGTTCGGATATATCCGAACCGATCCGCATCCGTATCCGAACGGATGCGGATATGGTAGACTAATTTTGAAACCGGGCGGATACGGTAACGGATACGGATCTGGTTTCGGATTTTTTTCGGATACGGATTCGGTAACGGATATGAGGGTTGCGGATACGGATATCCGCAATATAATACCGATTCGGGTGTCGGGTCTCAAAATTACAATTATAAACCCGTAACCGCTAACCCAAACCTCTAAGAACTAAGAAGTCTATGGTGTTGAATACTTGCTACTGTTCTTGTTGCCCTAATCATCAAGCTCCTGAGTCGTCATCTTCTCTATCTTTCAAGGTTCTCTCTTTTCTCTCTATTTGATTGGTTTTCTGTAGAATTCGATTAATTTCTTTGTTTCTTTAGCTTACTTCGATGATTTCTCAGGGTTCGGGATTCTGCAGGCTTCGTGTTTCTAGGGTTTCGTCTCCTTCCACTCTCCGATTGGTCTCCAGATGACGGCGAAGGCAAGGTGAGTTTGTCTCTTTGATTGGGTTGTTTTGTGATTTTTGAGAATAAATTTGAGATTTTGTTGATTTCTTTAGATTTTAGTGATTGAAATCTGTTGAAAGACGAGAGCTTGGGGCTTAGCTCCTGGTAATTTGTCTTGGGATTATTAGGTTCTGATCGGAGTTTTTTTTTGGGTTGAAAAGCCTCACAATTTATTCTTAGTAACAGAATCTTTATATGGTGGGAAAAAATTGGACGTGTAGGATTGACATACAAGGTTTAGGATTTTGTTTGTTTAGTTTTTCCTTTGTTAGCTTAGCTACTACTTGCTTCAAATGTTGATGTAGTTTTTATTGTGTAACTAATGTTCTTCATTTCCAGTATGATATTTATTGAGATATAAGCAAGTTGGTTAATTGTAGCATGTGGAAAAATTGTTTTTTTCAAACTCAAGTATGTTAGTTGTGCTACCTGCAAGGAATCGTTGTTGGTTCTGTTGTACGTTTTGGATGAACACTATATGTCTAATAGTAATAGATTTGTGCTCAATTTCAGTAATTCTAATTATATGTGAATTAAGGAGAAGCCTACAACCACATACATTTACCTATTTGGTGGTAATTCTAATTATATGTGAATATCCGTTTATATCCGTGATCATATCCGATCCAATTCTCAAATATCCGATCCGTATCCGTTTTCGATAAGTGCGTATATGGTTATGGTTTTTTCTTACCGAGAATGATCCGTATCCGTTTATAAAAAGAGGATATGGATATGGTAAGTGCGATATCCGAGCCGTATCCGCTCCGATAACACCCCTACTTACAATATTTAAAAAGTTAATGCATAAACTGAAGTGCTTGACCCTGGAACAAAGCCAAGGGTAAGCTTCCAAGCGGAAGTACATGTATACACTAATATATGCATGTTTGTGTATAAACATGTGTGCAGGTAAATGTGTGTGTGCGCACACATATCTTTGCCACAAACACCCATGTGAGTGACCGCACGTGCAACATGTATGCATGCATGTACTATGTCGTACATTGTATACATACATACATAATACATATTGTTATATGCATATCCATGTGGCTTGTGCCACATGAATCACGAGTATGTCGTACATTATATATGCACAGGTAAATGTGTCCGAATCAGCTTGGGGTTTAGTGGCTTGGGGTTTAGCGTGATAAAGCCCAGAGTTGATCATGTCCAGATCAAGGCTAACTTTTAGGGCCAGGGCCTATCCAGTCCATTACCATTTTTTATCACATTAGGGAATTCAATTACGAAGAAGTAATGAAGTGCCAGTACCGGACAGACGCTTGGGCCCTCCTTCAGTATGTGTCATGTACTGAAATTTGTATTCACTTATATAATTCATGATTAATTTGAAACTTGCTGTACACTTCTTGAACACATATACCACACTTCTCATCCACACATTTCTTCAAATTAGATGTTTTGAGATATCTAATTTCTTTCATACACCAAAAATAAAATTTCTAGAGGAAAAATGTCATCAAAATATTCACTTGTAACTTGTAAGGACTATGACAAAGTTTAGATATGGCCACAGATTTCATATAAAGTTGAAGAGTCGAGTCCTCCTCATTTTTTAAAGTCATAAAAATTAATATTAGATGAAAACATTAGCATGTATGTATGTATCTTCATATTATTAAAAGTATTAATATTCTAATGTCATTATTATTGTTTTTAATTTTTTATATGCATGAACATGTGTATATATAGATGTATAACTCTCTCATGATTATTAACGTAACATATAATAATGTCATAAAAAACAATATTAGATGCAAACGTTAGCATGTATGTATGTATCTTCATATTATTAAAAGTATTAATATTCTAATGTCATTATTATTCTTTTTAATTTTTTATATGCATGAACACGTGTATATAATATATATATAGATGTATAACTCTCTCATGATTAGTAATGTGGTACTTTAGAGCAATTTCCATGTCCTGTGTCCCATGTCTGTATTGTTCTCCTATCACGAGTATGTGTCCACTGCTCAACACGCGCGCGCACGCATGCGCGCAAGGATGCAGTGACACATGCACACACACATACACGTGCACGGGCACAATATTCTACTGCCTTAAGCTACGACATGTATATGTGTCTAGTGCATTATCATCCTGGTTTCTTGTGTCCAGTGCATATCATCCTGGTTTCTTGTGTCCAGTACATATCATCCCCGTTTCTTATGTGTCTTGTGTCCAGTGCATATCATCCCAGTTTCTTTTGTCCAGTGCATATCATCCCGGTTTCTTGTGTCCATGCCCATGCTAATTAATACACACGCATACGTATGTACACACATCAATATCTCTATTTGATACCTTCCTCCCTCAAGCTATAGAATGTAGATCATAGCAGCCCAGCTTGACATAGATGCATTAACCTGAAATCTTCCTAGACGCTTTGGTTAACAAATTGGCAAACTGAATATTATATTTGTAATGTCTAGGTATAATGATTTTCTCTTCTATCTTTTAATGAAGAAAGTGAAACAGTCAAATGTCAATATGTTTGATTCTCTCGGGGAAGACAAGTACATGGTTTTTTTATTGTCAAAATAAAGCCTGCTAGTGGTTGATAATGCAAAACCAGCTTCATAAAGCAAAGTTCAAACCAATTCACCATGACAGTTTTATAAATGAAACTGGGTACATCACAGTAGTGTGTTGGCAAACACACTACTTGAATACAAAGCAAGGGCACTTCCATCATGAAATTGTACTCATGTCAGATACTGAAACTAGAACATTTCTGCTAGATTCTTCTTACATCCTAGGTTATTTGGAATATATTTCTGGGGGAATAGCAGACCATTTTCAACTTTCTGTTCCTAAAGGAGCTTTTTCACAACTTCAAAACTATTTCAGTTAAAGAAAGTAATTAAATATAGAACGTCAAAAGTATCTTTCTCGATTACTGTAACAGTAACTAGACACACTGACATTGGCTTCTTTAAGTTTTAGATGCCACTGGAGTCTGGGACAGCTCCTCCAAGAAGTGTCAAACACTTATTGGACTTGGACAAACTTTGTACACGTGAAAACATCTTCACAATATGTTGATATACATATTAACTATTTTTGTAAAT